TTCCCCCGCCACAACACACAGATACACACAGATTTATATTTAAAATGATAGACACAGCAAAATACGAATAGGACCACATAACCAACTCACCTTCTCAATCTTCAGCTTCTTGGGTGGAAGTTCAATCTTATCCTCCACTTTGGCGTTGAACTCGTACGGGTCGTGGACGGGGTTTTCCCGTTTGACGTGTACCGTGTCGCCGGGACGTGGCTCTGACGCCAGCGAGGAAGCCAGAACTCCCAGGCCTCCGACGGCGCTCGAAGCAAAAGAATTGGAAATAGTGGAGAAGGTCTGGCCACTGTTCGACATGCCTACACCAGAGCCCGTGCGACACATATTGTTAGCATCGCCACCCGACATATTCGCAGCACCTCCAGAGTTTTGTAGTAACGAGGATCCAACACCGCCCTGGGTGTGGTCTCTCCCACCAATCACTTTGTTCCCACCATCTTTCCCCTTTTTATTGTATGCTGCCTTCGATTTGGGGGATTTGTTGTCTTTGGGATCGCCACCCGTCATGCTGGTATTCCCTAGACCTCCAGTATTCTTGACTGGGGATTTCCCCGAGCCCACGAGTGCGCCCCCAGCGTGTGAGTAAACATCCGAGGACACGCCGGCGTTCACGGCCTTGAGGAGCGCCACCGTGGGGTTTGGCATGACCGGACCGCCGTGCGGGGCCGAGTTGTGCGAGGTATTGGCAGACGAAGAGGGCAACGATGATACTGACGACGGCGACGAAGTAGATGACGAGGATGACATGGCTGCTGAGGACGACGACGGGGCGGTCAAGGTAGACAGCAAATGTGACGTAGATCCTGGAAAACCGAAGTTGCTGCTGGTCGTGGAGTTCACACCGGAAGTAGCAGCAGTTGTAGAAGATGAGGACACAGCCATGTTCGGCGACGACAATGAAGACGATGACGAGGAAGAAAACGAGGCTAAAGACGCGGACGGTAATAATGTAACAGAAGAGGAGGATGACTTCACGGCACCACCACTAGCTTCAGACTTAACCACTTCGTGATGTTTAGAGTCCACTTTGTTGGGGACTTTAGTGCGCTTGATCTTCATTTTGAGCCCCTTGTCCACAGAGGACACATGAGCCACGTTATTGCTGCTCATCGTGTGCTACCGGACCAGAGGATGGCCCGACTATGTCAGAGGCACTCTGGCTCTCTGCTCGTCACCACGTTGACCACAGCCACCTCACAGGCAGTGGACCAACAGTATGGTTTAAGTACATTCTCCCTATCTGATCCCTAAAGAAATCTCACTACTTTAAGCACAAAAAGAAAAGGGATTGTGAAATCTTATTGAAAATCTAACATATTTTAACGAACACTTCTCTCAAAGTAAAAAAAAATTCTTACCACAAAAAACAAGATAAAACAAAATTCTTAGAAGCACACAAGAAAAGAAAACAATTAAACCAAGAAGTGAAAGTACAAATAATCAATATTTATGTAAAATACCAAGCAGCCTTCAAAGAGGAAAGCACAAAACTACGGGTGTTTGGAAAACTTCTTATCCACGAAGGGCGAAATGAACAGGTTATCATCCTGAAAAGCACATGATTACCCACTTTCTTTCCATATGGACTATACCTTTATATCATAGTAATCAAAAAAGCACAGAGCTAGCACAGGACGACGACGATGAATTAATCCCACAGTTGAATGCAAGGGCTCCCGGGCTTAAGGTATGACACAAAAAACGTCATCAAACTTCCGAGTATCGCCATTTCTGTGGACAAGAAGAAAAAGTTGGTAACAGAAGCTCGCAAAAGGTGTGTGCGTGCGTGTGAGGGGAGGGGGGGGGTGTCTTAAGAGACAAACCTCTGTAATCATGACACCACACGAGTCAATATTTACAGAGAAGCAACAGTCTAAGGCTGTACAAACACAAGCATATAATCTTTTTTCTTCTATTTACATTTCATATATTCTTTTAAGGTGACATGTAACTTTCAATATCTTATAGAATCTCCTTTCTATTTGGGGGAGGGGGGGGGGGATTTTACGAGCACTCATAGCGCGGAAGTTCTTAGTTCTCGTGACGCAGAAAATTCCGAACTCAACTAAACAAATGTGATAGACCAGGAGAGTGAAATAAAAACTAGATCTATCCAAAAAGTCGTCCGCACGTGTTTTGAACAAGGGACACACTTACTTCAGCTGGAATCTCCAACTCAATCAATCAATCAATCAATCTCTCTCTCTCTCTCTCTCTCTCTCTCTCTCTCTCTCT